AAAACAGAGGACACAAATTTTGAGTCTGTTAGTGTTACCAACACAAAGACAGCAGGCTGACCAGATGCATGGAGCTGGGTACTAGACCAGATACAGTACCTCAAGACCTACAATGCAATTATAATCTTCATATTGCTCGGACGGATTTTGTACACGTACCGGGACCGGCCTATTTCTAGCTGTACACGTACTCGCTGACACACTATAAACAAGGCCTCCGGGGGAAAGACCAATGATTTGTGATTCCACCATCGAAAAAATTAATCTCGTTCGTACTTCCAGAATGGACAGGGTTTTATGGTTTAACCTATGAGGGACATACATGGACACGTACAGGGAAGCCGATAATTAAGTTCGGTGCCACACAGGAAATCTGTGACAAGAATTGCCACATCGTATGTATCCTACAAAGCGAAAGGCTTTTAAAAATGAATTTCGGTGAGGAACGACAATATGCAATTAAGTCCCAATAGGAACAAAAAGAGGGAAATTCCATGGTAACTGATGGTTTGGAGGGGATCTTCGTCAACTCTGTGCTATTATTCTATAAAGCCAAGGCATTGAGGATGATTTTTTTCTCGTAGAAGATCACTTGAAAATTAAGTGTCTAAACTACAAAAAAAAGGGCCAACAAAATAAAGTTCAGTTGGTGTGGCAACTGACGTTACAGTTTGTAATGACAAAATCAGTTTTAAGCTGCCACATATAGACGATGTGTTTCTCACAAGACTTCACTAACTTAAAATGAGTTTACACAGTACAAACTTTGAAATGAGCACATCCAATTTTCCAAACCCTAACAGGCTTGTTTGTGAATAACACCATTTTGGGGGTTACCAAAAAAACCCATGAATCCCAGGTGTTCCCAAGCCCGCTGGAACATACCGTATTTCAGCCAAGGGCAGGGGGGGGGGGGCTGGGGGCTGGGCTGGGCTGTGCATTCGTGTCTACTAAATGTACCGGGGTAGGGGGTGCTTTACCGTACTATATTCCAGCACCCCATCTAAAAAGTCCGGGGTGCTGAAGCACCCACAACACCCCCCCCCCTGTTCCCGCAGGCCTGGGTGCGCCCCCCCCCCCCTCCCTGTTCAAATGTGCAACAGGCAACAGCTGGCAGTCCAGTTGCCCCCTTCCCTTTCCCTCCAAAACATGTGGTTCTAAATCCAGCCTTGCATGGTATTTCTACTGTTAGTATTATTAGTACTCACAGTCTAATGGTCTAACGTCTTTCGCTCAATATATGGCCCATATCAAACGGTTGGAAAAGCCCGATGTCCAAATCATAAATTCATCCTCTGTACATACATGTACCAGGTAGCCTACGGTATATATTTTATTATCTTATAATTTAAACAGGTTCTTTTCAAAACCACACACAGTCACAAAAGTGACATATGACTCTATGGTGCTACCGCAAATGTTACACGTTTTGACCTATAATAATAGTCATTTTTTTGCTGGTTAAAATATAATGTACATGTTCAGTAATACATGTAAGATGTAATAATATTCAGTTGCTGTCCCTAAAAATACATGTATAGCATTACAAACACACAATGCAGGGCTCGAAAACTAGCACTCTGGCCTACACCGCGTTATGGGGAAGTTTTTTTTATTGTTGGCAAATTAGGACCGAGTTATGGGCCTTTCTGCTGTCCCCACAGCATTTTTGGTTCCCACAAATGTCTCGTGCAGATGAGTTGTTTGTCCCCACAACTACGGAACAAGACTGTGTGTACTTGTAGTTGTACTCTCTCTAAATTTCTAGCGCTGGATAAACACAGAGGGCAGAATTTATAGTCATTATTATGCAGGGTACGCGCACAGCCGTGCAGCATAATGTTATCTTTGCCGGCATTGTACAGACATTGCCGTCGGCAAAGGACCCTCCTAATTAAATCTTTGGCAGCAATTATCGGAGATTAGAGGCAAGAAAATTGATTATTTTTTACATGGGTAGGTTACACCGGTACCCGTGGGTGAAGGTGGCCGGTCACCGACAAGACGGTTGGCCATACACTGGAGCAGTATGGAGGGGATTCGCAGTTTGTTTCTGAAGTTTCTATCAATATTGGTGAAGTATGCTTTATGTATAATCACGCAGCAGAATTGATAGGAAATTAATCTAAAGTCTACTAAAATGTTCAAGATGATTTTATTATGTTCAATTCTTTTTGGAGGCCACTTCAAATGTCACTTTCGGAAGCCACTTCAACTTTAACAGTAAAACAACGTCTAAACCAACAATAGGCATTGAATATGTACAAGAAACATTTTTCAACTGCTATTTTCTCCAAAAAAATCAGAGCGATTTATACCTTAAGAAGTGATCCGGAGTTTTTTAAATTTTGCAATGCCATTTTGAAATTCCAGGTGAAATATGTCAGTGAGTGGCGTTCTGTTCTGAAAAGAACAATTCTAATGAAATGCTGCATCAGAAAATTTGAAAGGTGAATAATCATCTTCATCTACTTGAATTAATTTTACTTTCTTTTATTAGGCAATATAGGCTATCTGGTTTCTGAAATTAAGTCAACATCTGGATTTATACGTGAATAAATTACTAAAAATTAATTGAAATTGAAAACTTACAATTGGGAATGCCATATTTACATAAAAATTTGATGCCGGGTTCAGATCTTGGGGCGTTTTTGTCAAAACAAACTAAATTGATTTGTTTTATTCCTTCCCTATTATGGTAAGGAAATCTGAGCAGATTGATTAAAAACATGTGGTGTTTTGCCCCAGACAGTAAAGTAAACTCCCAATCAATTTCTTTTCATCTCCTTGCCAGCTGGTGTGTCCGATATTTACATGATAGAAAGTTGAGTGTTGGCCGAGAGACACCGCAATGTTGACTTGTATTTTTTTCACTTAGTGTGTGTGTTTGTGAGGCATTGAGCCCAATGGTCGGGCACCAGTGATGGCCAACTGCACTGTGTAATGCACTGTTTACCAATTTTCAATCAGATGAAAACTGTTCGCACTTGCCATACGAACATGGACTAGTACGCACTGTTAGTCCACAACAAGAAAACCATTCACAGTTTTTATATCACAAACTTTCACCAACAGATTCTTCCTTTCAGATTACAACTTTTCACAACACTTTCCAGAAAAAAAAACTGTGAAAACAAACATGCCCAAAGGACAAACTAACTTTCAACAATTTCTTTTCACAAATCCCTCAAAAACAAACGGCAAGAAACCCGATTATAAAACCGGCACGCGTCTGTTTCTTCCCGTACCCACCGGCCCAAATCAGATTAAACCGGTTTCGTCCAGTATTTGCCAAGTCACTAAACAACATCCCTAATCATATTACATGCACTAAAAGCACCACAAGGGGGAGTGGGCGGTGTCAATTTTAAGATCATTTTTGGATTTCTTTCTTTCTTCATCCCGCGGATATATGGGCTCTTCAGTCGTTATTAAGAGTCCATTAGGTTGTCCGCCATCTTGTGAGTGTTTGCTTTGGTTTATGATTAGGCCCTAAGCCCGCAGGATGTAGCTGTTACTATTCAGTGATTGGTCAGTGGGTCATTTTAGGAACCATGCCCTGTCTTTACATGAACGACAAATAGTACCAATTCTTTTTTTTCTTTTTTTCAGTTCCAATGAATGAAAGTCATAAACAAAAAAACACAAACACAAGATCTTGCGAACAAACCCTTTAAAACAAGTGAAGGAGATTTTCTCCTGGGTGATAATAACATTAAGAGTTTTACGTTTGTGGACCATTTTGAAGCAGCATGGAAATTTACTAAGCACGAAAAGGTTTGAAAATCAAGACCCACTTTCACGGCTCTGCTAACCACAGAATTTCACGCTTACACCATCACCATTTTGTACTAAGAGCGCTAGCAGAAAAATCCAGTGCTAACCCTGTAAGCACAGCATCCTTAGTCACAGGCCGTATGCATGCGCATAAGCCAAAATTCCCCGCCAACCCATGAAATATGCTTACCTTAAGCACAGAATTGTCTGCCATAAGCAGGTAAATTTCGCAAACGGTAGGTAAAGCCATGAAATTGGGTCCCGATTTCTTGCAACAACTCTGAAAGACTTTTGGTAAACTCTTTAACTTATTCGTTGGATAAAGTTGCACAACCCCAAGAAATACATTTGTAAAACACTACAACTTTTCCACCAATCCACAACAAGACAAAACTCGTAGAATTGTCAAAACAACAAGGAGTACAATTATTCGTGAACCTTGAAGGGCATACAAAAAGCACACATTGTTAACAGTTACAATTTTATATCCATGTGTTTCAACCCAAGCATAATTCGAGTCGTCCATTGAAGGCCTTGTGAGTGCAAGCTAATCCGGTCTGTTCTATAGTTCAAACAGGAATAAACCAAACAAAGCCTGGCCCAGCAAAGTCAAACACTGATCAATTTTCAGCCCCCCACGCTGTAACGACTTTTTTGGGACAAAGTTATTCGATGCATTGCCAGAGCGTGTATGTACAGTTCGTGCGCATGAATAATGCCAATGTATAACCAAGTTTTTCATGAAAGCATTTTACAAAGGCAAATGATTCACTTTTACAAAGCATTATAGATCAGTTTTTGAAAGGTTAGTGTAGCCTAGCTAAGATTTTTAGACTTAAAATTTATATTGTTTTCAGCTAATACTCTTCATGTATATGTTCTGAAAGAGAGCATGTTCAAATTTCCTTAGAATGTTGTCACATGTATACAAAACATCCATGTGCATTCAATCTTACAAAACAAAGAAACGTATTTTAGCCTTCCCCTCATAAAAATTCATAAAGTTTACTCCCAAAAATTGAACCATTTTCTCACATACTCATTCAATAAATTGGTGCTCCAATGTACAAACAATATGAACCTAGAAAAAATTCTTTCCATCAATTTGATTTTTTCCTGCAGAGGCCAAACACCTACTGCAGTGCCCAAAAAACCCACAAAATTGAATCAAATCCAAATCAATTCCAATCAACATCATATCAAATCAAAGGTTTTGACATTACCATGGGTTTCTGTGGCTGCTGGGAGCTGAACACCGGCTGGAATGTCCCGCCGAGTCCATTGGGCGGACAGTGCGCACAGTAGACAATCTGGGAAGTAGGGGGCGGGACTTGAGAAAACTGAGGGGGAAACTGCTGGGCCATGGGAGGGGGAGGCGCGTTGAGCATCATCTTGTGAGTAACGAAACCCGAAGGATCCTCTAAGTATCAGTAAGCAGTGTTGGACTCATCACTGCACGAGAAAGATCCACTCGGATAATTTGGCTCTGCCGATGTGCCTCTACGTAGAGTAATTGATGTCCTACTGTCCTAGCTGTACACACAGTTTTCCCAGTCGAGCGCTTCTCTACAATGATTGTATTTTTTCCCAGATCAAGGTATCCGTTACAAATTAGACTCCGAGAAATCTGTGGATTCTGATTAGCGAGGCGCGGTTTTAACCGTTTGCAGAGCATCAGCCGGAGAGGGAGAAAAACAAAGTGTCTTTTGGAGTCTTGTATTTCAAACTTGGTTTACGTCTCATCCACGAGAGATGATGACTGTGGACAGTTGATGATTGTGGACGGAGGTGGCCCTTCACGGTCTGGTAATATTAGGCTCCTTTTCCGGCAGTTTTTTTTAATTCCATGTTCCTCCTAGGAATGTAATGATGACGGTAGATTTTTGAGTACAATGCTCAAATTTTCACAGCTGCTGGCATTTTTTTTTAATGTGAAGTGAACCTTTTTTCCCCACCGCATATGAAATTAAAAAATGTTAGGGAACGCTGTGCAAGCTTGGTCCTAGGGCAGCTGCCTCTGAAAATGCCGAAGCAAGGACAGGGCACTGACTATGGAATCTTCACTGATAAGCTATCACTTCCAATGAGAAATCCTGCTTGCGGAAGTCTTGTTCCTGTAATCCAATTCAATCTCGGATCAAATTTCATGGCATCGTTGGAAGACCGTTCAAGACAAATTTCAGTATATACATGTAGAATGAATGCCTTCTACAAGTACCGGTACATACACGTACATTAATATTGTATGAATCCACGCACACTCTCAGCATCAGAAAAGATAACTTCCAGTCCATTCGATGTTGTCTGTGTACTAAGTCCACGTCTGTTTGTGTGTCTCTGCTGTTTGAACCACTGGACTTGTATTGTTATGCGCTCCTCCCACTGTGTAACAAATCTCAGCCAACGGTCACAAACCTGACACCGGCGGTGTGCCACACGCTGGTCTCTTAGCCCAGATTACCAACTCCATGTCGGCAGAACTAGACTCTCAGTAAATGCTCCATTGTCTCCTGAGTGTTGTGCAGTGATTGCTTAACGGCAACCCACCCCGTCTCTCTCTCTCAATGTTGTGAAGTCCACACCACATCTGCCTCAAGTACAAGAGGAGCTTAATCTGTCTCGTGGCTTCGTGGCAGAGTAGTTTTTTTTCTCTCTCCCCGGTTCCCCGCCAACTGTTACCTCATTTGAATAGCAAAGGGATTTATTGATGGGTTAATTGTATCATGTGTCTAAAAGGGAGGGGGGGGGGGTACTGAGACAAACGGCTGTGTGTAGTTCTGTTGCCATTCATCCAACAGCCAGTGAGAGTCTGTGTGTACGTATGCGCAGCAGGGCCGGCGACACAGTGTGCAAATTTGAAAAAATCTGGTGAAGCCAACCAGAAGTAAATATTTAACCAAATCATATCGACCACGTTATACCATCCATTTCGGCGGCTCCATTTGGGGGAGCGCTTCGGCACAAGCATACATCAAGGGATCAGGAAAAAATGGCTCAGATTCATTGAGCTTTTCCTCTATCACGGAGCTAAGAAAAAGGACCGTCTCTGTAGTATGCTACACTGAAGACTATGAATCAGGAAGTAGTAAGTGCCACGCTGCATAGGATTAATAAGGAGAGTGACTTTTCTTTTCTTTCCTGTTGGAGGGGATAGACATGATTTGCCAAACAGCTCAGCAAACAGCCGGCCTGGAACAGATCATTCCTTTATGGGCAACTCCTTTTCCTGGTGAACTCGCAGACCAAACAATAGCTCAGGTCACAGAAGGGGAAAGAAAGGTCTCTTTCTCCAAGAACGGAATTACAACGCGGAAGATGCTAAGAGATTAAATTCTCGTCAGTGCCAAAGTTCTCTTTGCTGGAAAATGAATTAGATTCACTGATCTGACTTTTCAAAGGAACTTTAATTTTGAAAACTAATATTTCTTAAATTGTAAATGAAATTGTTGTCCTACATAAAAGGGTTGAATGAATTGAAAACAATGTGAGATTGACTAAACACAAAATCTCAAAATTCACAAAAATGAAATAGCACTATTACTGTTTTTCTTAAATCAGGTAATAATTAGAAACAAATAAAAACAAGTTTACTGCTAACTTTGAGTACCCAAAAATTAAGCTCAAATGTTGTTAAGAATGTGGCTCTCTTAAAAAAGTTAGTGTCTAACATTCAGTCGTAGTTGCATCTTGTTCTTTGCCTTTGAACAAGATGATGCTAGGAACAAATCATTTTAGCACTCTGATCTTTAAAACTTAATATTAGGTTATTCCATTAATTAAAAAAAAATATATATGGATTTAACCATTCAGAGCATTATTTTTTCCTGCAAATGCAATGACTTTATAACACAAAAAAGAGAACTTTGCTTTTCACTTTGTTCTACTTTTTTCTTAACACAATTATTGTTCCAATTTTTTCTTAACACAATTATAGAGAAGATTAATGGAAAAAATCTGTTCTATTCAGGATGTAAAAAAAAAGGGAACAATGAACGAAGAGAGAGATTACAAAGGATAATGCAGCGCTGATGACGGCCGCAAAAGACATTAAGTGTTCAGACATTTTACACTCCGGCAAAATTGATTTGGAAGCTCTCAAGTGGTATTGTGTGAATTCAGGAGTCGTCAAGGCGGCGTGCATTATACCGAGACAAAAAAGGAAGGAGAAACGAATCATGGAAGACACTTTGGTAGCGTGACTGCTCAATCAATCGGACAGACCGGACAATTTCATAAAAGGATGGTCCCGAAAAATCAAATTATACAACCGTCAAGACCGATTTAAAGATGAGCAGTGGAGGACACGTTTAAATGTCTGTCAGATGGGGGGGGGGGGGGGAACAAAAGGAAGGCCGTGGCTTATAGCATGTTTCTTAGGAGTGCTTTTTGCCGGTTGAGGAGGTAAAGTGAAGAAGGGCATTATGGAAGAGTTTCAAATTTGAATCGGAGAGTTGCTCGTTCAACACGCCTTGCTTGGCTAAGTGGGGTAGCTGCAGTGAGTGTAAAGTGCAACTGATGCACGAAAATATCAAACCTAAATGTCATATAAATAAATAAATACATGTAAATGGCTAGTCCATTTGATTTGATATCAACCGAATATTTGAATAGTTTGTGCCGGTTGGAATATTTGAAAACAAAAAGAAAAAACGCACGTGCACACACTACTGTTACGTTATTTTATCGTAAAGTTCGGCGCTTTATTTTCAGGTGCCATTTATTTGTTGACGGTGACTTTTTTTGTTGATGGCGGTTCATTGTTCCCATCCTTTTAGCAGGTTGAAGCCCTGGACAGTTATACAATCTTTACTGCAAAACGCTCCAGCGGCCCATATCGATCGCCACATGCAAATTTTAACCGGCACGCTCTGCATGAAACTTTTGACTGGCGCGGCACGTACCGGTAGTTGCTGGCGGCAGTTTCAAATATCCGAATATTCGGTCATCCACATTTTCAATTAATTGAATACTAAATTATTTGAAAAGAAACAGCCCTAATGTCCACTGTAGTTTTAGAACACTAGTTAATTTTAGAATTTTATGAGGGAAAAATAAGAATTTTTAAGGAAATTTTATATTCTGATCAATTCACATTCCGTCATTTACACATACCGGTATACCTCACACATTTAAGTTACAAATTCTAAACGTATATTTTGTTTGTCAATTGAACCCACGATTCATTACAATGACTTGCTTTCCACATTCATACACATGTACACCTATCTGCATGCATCTTTTGGCAATACATAACCAATTTAGAAAATCAGTAAAAACAATAACGGTACCGGTATCTCATGAATGAGTGTAACAATTTTCAAGTACCAAAAGTCTGTACTGTAACTTTTCTCTACTTAAAACTCCACTTGTTTGTGTAACTTCCAACACAAAGCCACATCTATACACTGTGCAGTACTCCAAGTCCAAGAACAATGCACATTGCACACAAGCAGCAGTTTAACACACACGAGTATTACCAATGTCGGTCTAAACCCAACAGTTACCACTTTCCTTGCAGCAGTCTTCTCTTACATTTCAATATCAAATTGCCCGGCCGGTAAACAAAGCCGCTGCGAACCAACAGTTCTGGGTCAGTGTGGATTGTGTCTCTGTAAGCACTGGCCGAGTTCTGAAGGTACACTACACAGGCCTCGTGTTGGCTCAGGGAATTGTGGGACCGTTCCTCCTCAAATACAGCGCACCTCACTGTCAATAATATGGGGACGGTTTCTTGGAGCGGCGGACAAAAATAGAACAAGGAAACACTGATCTTTGATGTACAGAGCGCAGTCAGATCAGATGTTCGTCTGTGTGTACATAAATCGTGTCTGTTACTGAAGATGTGGTTACGGATTTGACTTTAGTTGGGGGATCGCTCATGTGAGTGAAATTGGGAAGCGACAGAAAGGTGTGACTTACCAATGGGTCTTTTAATGCAATTGATACTGTTGCCAGGACAAATTTACTTTACTGTGGCATACACACGAACTTGCTCTACGGATTGTCAAGATTTTTACTCTATTTCTCGTAGCAAACAAAACCACTGGAGAACACTGAATTTTATGGATCCATCGGCAAGTATAAATAATTTAGTACAGGTGCTAATGGAGGAGCGTGGCCTAGTGGTTAGGGTTTATGACTCATGATCAGAGGGTCAGGGGTTTGAATCCAGCTGCTGGCCGTATATTGAGTCCTTGGGCAAGCCACTTCACCCCCACTTGCGTCTCTCCACCCAGGAGTACCGGTACAAATGGGAAGTAACCTGCGATGGACTAGCATCTCATCCCCGGGGAAGAAAAATATACTCTCAGTCGTTTCATGCTATTGAAACCAGAGATAAACGCCGGCCTGATGGGCCACATTGGCTTGTGACAGACTAGACTTTTACCTGTGCTAATGGGCTAAATCAGAAGTTTACATTTGATCTTTAATGAATCCAATGAATATGCCTAGACTGGAAACCAGACCTCATGAATGAGGACAGGTAACATGCTCACAGCTACTGATATTTCATTGGTTGCTATATGCAATGTGCCAAGCTTTTCCTGCAATGTGATTGGCCAATTTCACAAGGACAGGTTGATATGGAAGAAAGTCTAGTGCCTATGAGTGGTGCAGCATTGCAGCATGTACATGGTACAGGTATGTAGGACCAAATCTTTAAAATTTAGTTCCCCATGCCAAAGTTCATTGTTGGCAAGAGTCATCCTGATGTGTTTACTAGACTGACTCTATACATGTAGATCTAAGAAATTGAGGCAGTATTCGAAAAAAAAATAATGTCTGGCATAAATTTGCATAAAATGTGTGCATGATACTATACTCAATAAATTAGACTTATACAAGACATTTGTTTACCTTCAAGCTGGCATGGTGCGCGTGGCCCAATCGCAAACCAGCACTGCCATCATGCACAACATAGACAATATGATACATCCCACGTCCGAGCTCCAAGACTCAATCCAAATCTAGAGTTTCAGATTGTCAAGACGGCCATGTCTCATCATAGCTTGAGACTCCCAACAAAATACCCGACGGATGACGCATCCGATGCT